TGTTTGATTTTTAGAATAAAAAAGATATTTTGAATCAAACTCCAGTAACCCACAAATAAAATGATGTCATCCTAAAATACACAAAAGGATGGCAAATAGAATACAGTTCGCCCTGCAATTCAAGACCACCTTTGGAACCTGAAAATTTGGGGTGGTCTACAGTAGGTCTTTGGTCTCCAATTAGCGAGTTAGCTTTGATTTATAGGATCGAAGATTGTCACGTTATTTGCAGAGAGAGTGACACAGTTTCAACTCTGGAAGTTTTTGTGAACTCATGTTTTTTGGGGGTTTTTTTTGTTTTTTTTTTGTTAATAACTGGCTTTCAAAGCAGTCTTATAGCGAATTATGATCTGTGAGTATACTCTATTTTTTGAGGCAGCTTGGGTGCTATCTAAGTATTATTATTTTTTTTATTATTATTATTATTATTATTATTATTACTTGGTTCTTCCAAAAATTGGTCTTTAATTAGAAGGGTCCTATATTTAGAGGGGTCTTGATTTGGAAGGTGAACTGTATAGCACACTTCAGTAACTATTGAGAGAGCCTCATATTTAGGATTAAATACAAACAAAAATAAAAAAAAAACAACGATCTACAAGAGTAAAAGCCACTGCAATTTAAGGGACTATGAATGAATGGGAGGCGTTAGAGGATGAGTAGAAAGGCTGGTGAAGTTAATTGGCTTAAGCTGAGCTGGCTACAGATTGACCACTAAAAAATAGATTAAAACAATCACACTTTTTAGTAGTTTGGTTTCACCTACTTTATCATATGAAGGTAGCCTTTGTTTGAAAAACCTTTCAAATATTTTCACCTTGGAAACAGTTGGCGATGCAAAGCTGTACACTGAAAACAATCAAAACACAACACTATTACTTTTATTTAAGCTAAAAATTGTTGAACGAATAAACACTAATATAATTAGGAAGAAAAAGTTCAACAGATATTTCATACTGAGCAACATCATGATGGCAATGGCCAAGATTAAAAAGAAAAAATGTTTTTTTAGTTTGCTTTTTTTTTAGGACTAACAGGGCAAAAATTTGAAACCATCATTATTGCCATGGGTTGGCATAAATTTCTTTCTTAAAATATTGTACATTCAACTTTAATTAACAATATTATAAAATTGTCATAAAAGTGAAACTAATACAATATGGGTGTAATACAGTATATAATAATAAAAATATAACAATAAAAAAAATGGTATAAAATGCAATAACTTTGTCAGAATGTTGATATGGAATAAAATAAAAATGGATAAATGGTAGGTTTTCAACTTTTCATAAAAAAATTATTGAAAACTCACCTTCATCTGGGAAATAAAGTCGCCAACCCTTGTAGGGTAAGAAGGTATCTACATCAGATACTAGTTGTCTGGATGGTACCCCTAGTGGCCTCGAGCTTCTAGCATTGTTTCCACCTAAAAATAGATTGCAAGAAAAAAACAAACATCAGCGGATTAATATTCAGATCAGCTTTTTGTTAAGAGTTCAACCATTAAATTTGTAAGGATTCAACTAGGCCCTAATATGGGTTGGATGTATAGTGCCATCAGTGCGATACATTACCTGGAACTCTGTTCCATGATGTAGGCCTACCTCTGCCTTTTCCGCCTCCACGATATGAGCTTCCACGCCATCCTCCTTGACCTTGACGATTGCAACTCCACCCTCCCCTCGTTGGCTTACCTCCTCCCCATCCTTGCTTTTGACTCATCTGTTCAATTAAAAAATATCAAACTAATACTTATTTTCCTGTCCACAATCAAGTTCAAGTTTATTCAAAAAACACATCTGCAGCAAGAAGCTGAATTGAAATTATTT